TATCCGTAGTGACGTCATATTATGTGACCACGTATGACCGTAGGGAGCGGTGTTGCACTGTTGCAGGTCACAGAGTATGGTGTAACACCCGGTCCTTTCCACCAAACCAGAACCAGTTTCTGTTTAAGTTTCGTTTTTGACGTGCTGCGTTTCTTCACGTTTGCAGTTTAATAATAAAAACTAAAAGTTTATTTTTTCCTGTGACTTATTCGCAGCATGATAAATGGTAGGAGCATAATATATGCTCCCAATGTTTTGTTGGTCTTTTTTTTTTTTTTTGTAAATAATTAACCTTTTTTGTGGTTTTATTTATTTATTTTTGTATCTTGAGATCTATGACGTCATCAAATATTCGAGTTCTACTTGGATTTTATTATGTTAATGTCGAGTTTAAAAATTATATACTGGTTCAACCCCTAATATATACATATATATGCATTCACACTGCACTGAGTCTATCGAGTCAAACTGTCCCCCCCCCCCCCCCCCTTGCCTGTGGTGGCGCTGCACCAAGAACTACTGAAGAAAACGACACGAAAATATCTGAAGAAGACACTGAGCACAACTTACTTCTGGAAATAAAAACAAAAATGGAGTGGCGTGAAATTTTAGTGGTTTTAGGATTTCTGTTTTGTCTGTGGCACATGTGTCAAACAAACATTTTTCAACAATGGACTCAGCATGAGCAAAGATGAGGCAGAAGACCAGGGAGAATGTTGTTTTTCACACAAGGCGGCTGAGACGGCTCCGTATGAGGTATGAGAAATGCATGTTTGTTTTGGTTGTATTTACACAGAATGCTCTACCCAGTAGTCCACTTCCTGCTTTTGGAGCGGTCTCCGGTCTGCTTTCATTCACAATGCATTTGAACCACGCTAGAGTTCACGTCAACCGAACCAAGACCTAGGTTTTTAGGCAGACCAGAGTTCGCTCTTTTGGTCCGCATCAGAGTTTGATTGCACATTCACACCTCCCCAAACAAACCGAACTTTCTAGGCAAACGGACTTAAGTTTGATTAGAGCGGACTAAACAGAGCTGATGTGAATGCACCCTTATACAGCCACACATCAAAAAGGAAGCTGGCCTTGGTTGCTTGTTCTTTAAGTTATGAGGGGGACAAAATTATGTTTGTTCCAGAAGATTTGTGGTTCATTCAGATGTGACTTAGAAAATCTAAATTGTGCTGCCACGTTCTTTTTCGTAAGAAGATGATTTCTCCCAACAAGCAATTTAAATAAGCCACAATTGTTCAGTCTATTTCTTTAACTGTCTAGCCATAAACTTTAACCTTTAACCTGTTATCTGAGGCTGTAGAGTTTGACATGGCACTACTAGGTTTGTTTGTTTGTTTACTGCAACTATTCTGAGCATCAACCTCAAATGGAGGCAACTGTTCTTCAGTTGTGAGTATTTACTTTCACACTGCAGAAGAATGAACATCAAATTGTTTGGAAATAGTCACCTTAGAGTAGACCAATGGGTAGCAGCAGTTTCTTCTTTAAGCTCATTGCTGGTGTTTGTATTTTCAGACACTGTGTTACACATACCTGTGTGCCCCAGACCAGCAAACTACCAAAACTCCAGTTTTTATAGAAGTGGTCACACATCAAACAACAACATGTATTTGACTGGCAGCAGATGGCTTCTACTCAACCATATAAAAGCAGTAAGGATGTGCATAGTTTTTGTACACACACTTTTCATTTTGACTTTGATTTTATGCACTAAAAATTACTATCTGAAATATTTTGTGCATTTTAGTAAACGTAGGTTAGATTTAAATGTTCTTAGATAATATCATTTTGATTGTGTTTTGATATGTAATACCAAAGAACTGAAAGATGGGGACTCGTATATACATGACTAGTGGTTTGCGTACATACATTACATTTTATACTTCTTTATTGTTTTATCATAACAATCTAATACATGGTAAATGGACTTGCTGCACGGTGACACAACTGGTAGAGCTGCTGCCGCTCAGCGAACAGGTCCATGGTTCAAATCCCGTTCCAGGGGCAGTTCTGGGTGGAGTTTGTATGTTCTCTCTGTACGCGCGTAGGTTTTCTCCGGGTACTCCGGTTTCCTCCCACAGACCAAAAACATGCATGTCAGGCTGATTGGTAACTCTAAATTGTCCCTAGGTGTGAGTGAGAGAGTGAATGGTTGTTTGTCTTGTTTGTCTCTATGTGGCCCTGTGATGGACTTGCGAGCCGTCCAGGGTGTACCCCGCCTCTCGCACAGTGATTGCCGGACATGTGCACCAGCGACCCCCGTGACCCAAAATGGAAGAAGCGGGTAAAAGATAATGGATGTATGGATAAATGGACTGTGCCTATATAGCACCTTTCTATCTAATCAAGATACACAAAGATCTTTGCAACACAATATTTGTCCTCATTTACTTCCACACAACAAAAGCTGAGTAAAGACAAACTACATGCCGCAATAATAATGAAAATAAAAGAAAAGGTTAGTGCATGGAATGTAGAAAAATCAGTGTGCATGTTTCTCCCCCGTTAAGGAATTCTATACACATATATTCACAAAAATAGGCAAAATATTGGGTTATAGGGCTGTGTGGTCAAGTGCATTTAAAACACCCAATTCCCTTTTTTTTTCCACATGTACTGTCACGCTTTATTTAAAGCTCGAGTTCTCTACCAGTGGTCTCAGAGCTTGAGAGACTAATACATATAATTTGGTTAATGATATTTGAAAATAACAATTGTATTACTGGCAAATAATATTATAAAAACACATCAATTTGTAGATTTTTTATTTTTTTTTTTCCCTCAAGCAATATATTTTTCAGGTTCAAACATAAACCTTGCAAAAGTTTACACACCCACAAAAAAAAAAAAAAAAAACATATCTGAGAGAATAAACTACCTCCTGCTCTCATTGCCTTTTATCTGTTGCTCCTTCACACTCCCATTTATCTCTCTGCTCTCCCATTCAAAGTTCCAGTGTCACTGCCATCACCTCTCTCTGTAATTTCGCCCGCCTTATTGAATAATCGACAGCTGGAGCGTGAGAATGTGTGTCAAGGACAAGGCAAAAGAAAGAGCATCTATTCCTTTTCTTTTTTTTTCAATTTAACTACTTTTATCTTTTCTTTTTTTTTGTCTCCACTCTTCTTTAGTGCAGTATTGATTTTCATTGAAGGGTACTTTGCTTCATTAATAGGGGATAATAACTCAGTTTAATTACATTATTCATAATAGATAATCATTATCTCAATTTAACACTAATGACGTAAAAGCTCAATAATACCCTAACGGGAAGTTATCACGTAATTAGTTTAGTTCTGCCTTCATGCATGTCGGCAACTATTTTCCTTTCAAAGTTTTACATGTATTGGATGGCAACATTTTCTAGGTATTGGGGCAAATCCTGTATGGATTACCTTCGCAGCGAGGAAACGGGTGATCCCAGTTGCGGGTGGTGCCATGCTCACAGGTAAGGATGGAATGACCCGTGAGATGATAACCAGGCAGACACTCAAAGGAAATGGATTGACCCACGTTGTAGCCAGCACCCACCACCACTCCATAACGAAAGGGCTCTGGATCTGGGCATTCCTGCAGTTCATATGCTAAAAGGAAAAACAAATAACATTTATTTATTTATATGTTTCTTAAAATGTCTTTAAATATAGAAAGTAGGGGTGAGATAATACTACTATTTTCAGAATGAGTACAAGTGTAAGTACTTCAGTTTGGGTACTTGCAAATAAAACATACTGATACTGAGTTAGTACTTAAAACATCACACAAAGATTTTAGAAGCACTTTTCTTTCATTAAGAACACATCAAACAGTCTACTGTCATCACCTGCATTTATCTTAAAATGCATCTATACTATGCACATTTTTTACTTATTGTTGATTGCTCGCAAAATGGAAGAGAAAATGATGAAATGATGAGACTAGGCATAAATTATATATATATATATATATATATATATATATATATATATATATATATATATATATATATATATAAAGTGTGTATATAAATTTATTTCATTTTACGATGGTTTCCTCCCACAGACTACAAAACATGGATGTTGGGCTGATTGGTAACTTACAAAAGGGAGCTGAAATTAAAACCTTTTTTCAAACTTAGGGCCAGTTTCAGATTCTACATTAACTCAAGTTAGATACGCAACATCTTTTCTTGGTAGCAGGTTCCTCAACAAGAGTTTGATTGGTCTCATTTGACTTTCTCTGTTGCACTTTTGACATGGTAATCAAAGATAACTGGAAAAAAAAAGTGATAAAAGTAAATAACATCTTGGGGGCCTGATACGATGTCAACGAGGGCCACATTTGGACCCTGGGCCTTGCGTTTGCACATATGCTTTAAATTGTTTCTAGGTGTGTGAGAGAGTGAATGGTTGTTTGTCTGGTTTGTCTCTATGTGTCCCTGCGATGGACTGTAAACCTATCCAAGATGTACTGTGCCTTGAAATTGTAAGTCTTTTTCCCATACAAAAGCACCATTGTAATACTAAACTACCACCTTTATTTGCTGAAAGATTTATTGATTTGTGGATTTATTCATTTAGTTTCATCTTATGTTGGCTTCATCTCCATTTAGACAACAGAGATTTACTTAAAAAAAAAAATCAGTGGTAGGTTTAACTTGTTCTAGCTGAGTATGAAGCAGTCATCTTGATTCCCCCCCCCCCCCCCCTTCTTTTTTCTCATGTTGGATACAGACACTGAGCAGGCAGTGAGCCTTGAAGAGCGAGGGATATCAAAATGACTAAAGGATTTGATTTCTATGGATCACAGCTTCTCTTTGTAGGAGATAACTCATGCAAATACCGCAAAAGTGGGGGGCAATTGCAAATACAATGCTTGATTTATATGCTAATTTACACATAATTATGTAAATGCACAATGCTACCTTACAATTTGCTGCCTCATTTGTTGAAACACAAACTTTGTGTTACACATTTAGACAATGGAAATTTGCCCCTTGGCGATATGAAGTTAAAGTATTTGCTTGACACAATGAAGGTATTGTTAATGTGATAAACAATCCATTTGCAGTTAATAAAAGTACAAAGTTTGTGTTCCTAATAAATTGAGTTGAGCATCAGTTTTAAAGTAGACACTGTTTTAGTGGGAATAAAAAAATGTCACAAAGAAAACCATTTCAATATACAACAAAAGCATTGGTGTTTTGATACAAGAACATAAATGTTCATAAAGGTCAAAGGAAACGTTTAAAGAAAGTTGTGAGACCAGCTATGTTGTACGGTCTAGAGACAGTGGCATTGACAAAAAACAGAGGAAAGAACTGGAAGTGGTAGAAATGAATATTTTGCAGTTCTCTTTAGGAGTGACAAGGATGGATAAGATTAGGAATGAGATCATCAGAGGTACAGCACAGGTTGAACAACTGGGAGATAAAGTTAGAGAGGCCAGACTGAGATGGTTTGGACATGTCCTAAGGAGGGACAGTGGGTATATTGGTAGAAGGATGTTATAAATGCAGTTGCCAGGAAAAAGACAAAGAGGACTGCTAAAGAGGAAATACTATATATGGATGCAGTTAGAGAGACATGGAGGTAGTTGGAGTGAGGACAGAGGATCCAGAGGACAGAGTGAGATGGAGGAGGGTGACTCGCTGTGGCGACCCTTGAAGAGGGAAAAGCCGAAAGAAGAAGAAGAAGAATTGTTCATAAACAATCAAAAGAATGCATTTTTTTACGCTCAAGTATTATGGTTGGAGTCTAACCTTGGTACTCAAATCGGAAACCTGGTTTATTCTGTGAATGGTCACTGTGGAAATACACTGAAGTTTCATGGGAGGTCGTGAGAAGGGAAGACGGAATGTCCTGACCACTGAATCGACCAATAACTGCACTCGTGTCAAGGGGCCCATTGCGTATCTCGAGAAAATCATGGTTGGCTTCAGTGGAGAAGTTGAGAAATTGTATGTGGGCTCCTGGAAACAGAACGCACACAAAAAAAGAAAAAGAACATTTGTAATTTTAAATGATTTTTTTCTTCCTAACGTGTTACTAAAGCACTTTTGCACACAGTCTCCAAAGTAAATCAGATGCATTAATGAAACTAAATGTCATTCCAGGTCCTTCAGTGAGGGATTGCCAGAGAGACATGCTCTAGAAATCTCTGACGCTGCTCACCGTAACCAACTGGCAGGTAAATTCTCCAGGTGCAGTCACTGTTGCTCGGGTAGTTGCCAGGGAAACCAGGGCTGAGAACCATTCCCTCCATCTCCTCCCGGATTCCACCACACTGAGCTGGTCCAGACAAAGCAGAAAAATAGCCATAGCATTAAAAGATGTTTGACACATTTGAATATTATTGAAATGTGCCCTGTTTAATAACAGGAATTTTATATAGTGGTGCTATTCCATATTAGTCCATAAATCTAAGAACAGAAATCCCAGTGAAGCAATTATACCATATGGTTTAACGCATAAACCAAACACATACTTGCACTTCCCTGCATGTAGGGTTTTGATGTTAAAGCCAATTAAAGAAAACACTTTACATTTATTTTATATAATAAAACTAAATGTAATTTGAATTTAAAACAAGTAGAATAGTAGCTTTAAAAATGTAAAACGTTTTAATGAAATCACTAAAATAAAATTTAAAAAGCAGCACCTTTTTCATATAAAAAACATTTTTGACTACTCTGAACATTTCAAACAATGTATTTTACAAATGGTGTAGAATAGTGAGATATTTGTCAGCCAGAATTTAATAACCTCTATATCTGCTGCTCAGATTCATATTTCACCATAACCCATTTTCTAAATTAATAATTCAATAATGTCAACATGTCTGACATGAAAAGCTATGTAAACGCTTAAAAAGGCAGGGGAAAAAATCAATAGGAAAAAGGGGAAATACAATCTGGACAAAACATTTGAAAGAACAAAAGAACCCTACAAAACAAAAGGCTAATAAATAAGTTGACAGTTTGAAAGTGACAGACTAATGCATGAAACAAACAAAAAGAAAATTAGGAAGAAAATGAGAAATCATATACTTAAATCAGAAGACAGTCAAAAAGGAAACAGTTTGCTGAACCAGTGTGGTTCTGAAAGGTGTAAGTTAAGGGTTAAATGTTCAGCAGCCTGTGATAATCAGGAAACTGCTGATGCCTGTAAACACAATGAATCTTCCCTCATTTTATCCAATCACAGTCTGCAATGGAACTAATTAGCCAATAGTAGGCTGTTCCAATAGGTGGGACTCATTTGTCAAGGCTGATCTACAAGCAGGGACACTTGACAAAATGAAGTGGTCACACAATGCTGCTCCCTTCACTCAGTTTCATGGTGAAAACAATGTATTTTAAATGTAAAAATGTGCATTATGAGTTTAAAAGACAATAGCTGCACCTGTTTTATTAAAAATGGCTAGCAGGAAAGGATGTGAGATCACCTCTGGCATGAAAATTGTTAAAACAGAAAACAAAATATGCACATATCTTTTACTTATAGTAGGCAGTAGTTGTAAATTTGTAATTAGGATCTGACAAGAAGCATATAAAGCTATACCCTTGGATCCTTTGAAGCTGATAATAAGAAGGGAGGCAAACGGGTGAGTGATGATATTTGAAAGCAAATTAATACAAAGGTATCCTTACCTATGCAGAGTGGAGGTGGGTAGTTCCAACGTCTGACGGTTCCAGGCATACATGTGATGTGCGAGTTCCCCTGCGAGAAATATTCACGCACCGAGGCGCACACACAAAATACAAAGAAAGAAGTACAAAAGAAAAGAAGATGATAAATGAACATGATCTCTTCACTGTCACTCATCTGTAGCTCAAATTATTTGAGCCTGCTGCTTTTCTCCACATGACTTCCCATGGTGACTAAATGACTAAATCCATCAAACGTGAGAAAAAGAAATGGAGGCAGCGCCAAAGTCGAAATGAAATGAAATTGTACAGAAAGGAGAAAAAAGACAGAAACTGTTATAATACAAAGTGAACTAAGCAAAACAATAGGCAGGTTTTCTTTGAAATCTGATAGTTTACCTTTAAAACGCATCTTAAACAATGTGAAAAACACACTTATGTAAAAAATAATATATATATATACTGCGTCACTGGCTCAGATTACCTTTTCTTATATATGTGTAAGGCAAGAGAAAGTGTCTGTTACAACTAATCTTTACTTGAGTTATTTAAACTGATAAAAGATAATCAATACAAGGTTTATCTGTTCAAAGGCAGCAGCTGAAAAAGCTGATGAGGCTTCAACATTTTTCAAGCCCAGTATTTAAAATATATTTCCAATCTTCTATGTATATCTTCAAGCTAGATTTAAAGTTGGCTGGATGATTTATAATTGTTAATTAAAAAGTCCAACTAGATTTTAATTTTTTTAATTTTTAATTTTTTTTATTTTTTTATGAACAACAAAACTGTTCTCTGTGTGAGAATAGACAGGAGATTGAAAAACAAAAGTGTCTTAATCTGACTGATAAATGTTTAAGAGATGGTGGTCAAACTATGTGTTATTACAAAAACACAAATGGGAATTATGCAGTAAAATGTGGCAATGCTTATTTTTAACAGAAGTAGCACATTTTGCACAAACATTGTACAAGTGTGAACATGTGACTTAGATAAGTTTCTGTTCCATCACTGGTGTCTGATGGATGTGGCAAAATATATGATTTTCAGCAGCACAAAGTATGGTATGAATATATAAAAAAAGGCTTTTTAAAGTTTACATAATCTGCATTTTCTATATAATAAATGGGTTAACAGCTTCTACCCTGAAGCTGTTGCACTCATAAATCCCTAACCAGGAAAATCACTGCAATGACACTTTGGTGATGTGTGACTTATCTGTGCTGCTGATTATCCATGCTGCTGATGTCATGCTGCTGTATTCATTCATACCCATCTGCTCACCAAAGACATATTCGGGCTGCTGTTGTTGCGCCAAATTGTTTTACATTATTTTTTTTTAGTGTATATCTTAGAACTTTAAGCGTAATATTTAGTGTTTGTTTAGCATATATCTTAGATCCGTATTTACTGTTTCTCTTTATACTTTAAATGTTGCTATTTTGAGGTGTAACTAGGACCCTATGTACATTATTTGTTCCACCTCATGTATCACATGTAGTGGAAATGACAATGCAGTTGACTTGAACTTGAACTTAAATTAGAATGTATGATAACGTTAATGTACTGGATTAAAGTGCATTCAGATTGTTTTAAAATGAACTGGACACAATGTATCTGGATTCTGCTCAATTATTTTGTTTATAATGCTCAAATATTACTTATGGTATTGTTTTTATTTTATACAGCACATTATGCAAGTTGAAATAAATGTGAACACAAGATGTTTCTTCACCTCAGTGACGTTTACTCATGTGGTTGGGGTCATTCTATCATTTTGGAGTCCAATTAAAGAAATAAAAATATTACAAACATCATTCACATTCACGTCTGTCACATGAGAATAACCTTTTCACTTTAAAATAATAAACTCCGACTTGTTTTGAGATGAACATACAAACCTTCAAAAAATCTTACTATTGCTGATATCCTTAACTGCAGTTGTGTTACCACACCTGCTCATCGCAGACCAACAAACTGACTGTCTGCTTCATACTTGTGGTAATTGTTAATAATGATCAGGTAATTCCATATTTCATGTCAACTCCTGCGCTCCCATGACATTTAGTAGTGTTATCTACGCTGTTTTATTAATATATAAACAGTGGCTTTTTCACTTTTTTACTGCGTTAATGCAAAATATTTAATCTTCTGTACATGTTCCTTTTTTATCTATTTATGTTTAGGACTAGGTAAAAACCAGGTGGTACTTATATGTCTGCATAACAAGCTTTGATAATCCCAACACCATGATCAAATATAATATAATGTTGATAATAATAATTGCTCAGACAGTTGGTTTATAAAATACTATAGTATAATTGCAGCTTGAAGTACTGGCATAAAATGTACTGTTTCATGACATAATATGTCTTGAACCCAGAATATGTTACCTGTAAAGTATAGCCAGGTTCACAATGGAAGGACACCACACTATTCATCTGAAGACGCTCCCCAAATTTGATTCCATTCATGGGAACGAGAGGTTCTGGACAATTGGTCAGAGGCACAGCTGAGGAGATGGAGGAAACGAGAAAAATGTAAGGACAAAAAAATTACAAAATGACCTGACAGGGGAAAAAAAAGCACATTCACTGTATGTAGCTCTAAAGAAATACATATATTTTGGAATATGTTGTCTTGGTTGATTCAATATGAACAGCATTTCTCTTACTTTTGTATTCCAGCCTGAATCCTGCTGCAGATACACTAATGTCAGAAAAAAAGTGCAGGTAGAGTTGGTTGGAGGTGCTGTTGAGCAGAGCTGGGACAGTCGTGCCTTGAGGACAAGATTAATTGAAGAGTTTAGCAAAGCCATCTCTGACCATAACTAACTGTGTGTGTCACTGATAAAAAGCTGAAGAGCATGTCCTTTGTACATGTGTTGACATCAATTCATCTAAAGCTCATGCAGGATTTATATGAATGAGTTCAAATGAATATGCTTCCTGTTGTAAGAAAAAAAAAACAATGAAGTCAAATACAATTTTAGTTGAAAGCAGAACAAGTTCTACATTTAAAAAAAATAAGAAAAAAACAATTGTGAAGACATCAAACTCACTCCAGAAATGTCTTTTTTTAATTAGTTGTTTTTTAAACTGTGAAGCACAGGATCTACATCAAATTGTCTTTTTTCTGCTTTTGGAACCTTTAACTTGGATAATTATGTTCTCCTTTAAATAAATCTGCATTTGTATCCAAGTTAAAGACACGTGTGTCAGTACCTGAGAAGCTGCCGAGCATCGTGTCAGTGTTGTCGCCTCCATCGAAGACCTCCAGCGAGTCCCAGTTCTGCTCTGTGACAAAGCTGATTACCTGGATCTTCGACGGGGAAGTGCAAGTCAGAGAGAGGGGGTGGAAGAGAAACACAATTAGCAATAAATAAATAAATAAAACGTCATGCAGGAACAGAAGCTGAAGCAGATCAGAAAGAGTAAGGGGTACCACTTTACTCCACCTATAGACGGATAATAAAAAGTTATAGAGGAATTATATATATATATATATATATATATATATATATATATATATATATATATATATAGTGTC